TTAGTTATTATGTTTTAAGTGATTTTATGGTATGGTATATGGATGAGAGGTTGGGTAAGCAGGGGTGCGAGGGACCGGTACCCTAAAGTAAACAAACTGTCTCTTTGAGACAACTAGAGAAAAATGGTAGTGGGAAGTCTCTCGTTGATCACAAGAGAAAGAGATTCTAAAAACCCCGTTTAGTATTTAAGAGAAGAGAATTGGCCAAAATTAGAGAGGGTCATGTATAGAGAGGCTCACTTAGAACCGAAGTTCTGTATCATACCTAAACTAAGAATAAGTATAAAAGTTTATGAACAATGTTTAATAAAGAGATTTCAGTCACAGAGATTTTAGATACTTACTTTATTTGAAATCTACTTACTTAGTTTTTGCTCATTAGTTTTACCTTGTGATGCAGATGATGCTGTTGTTACCGAAGAGTAAAAAAATGATTTCTAAGGTTGGCTGAGTACTCCAAGTCCTATGTCTGGCATTTTGCTTATATGTACTTCCAAATAATAGATTGGCCCAAAATGCTTTTTTTCGTTACTATGTTGATTTTGAATAACTATTTAATGTTTAAAATTTGTGGTTGTAATCATTTTACGCACTGACTCATTTTGTTTAAAAATCTTTACGAAAATCTTGTGATGAAATCAACCACAAATTTCCGCATCTTAAAAATGACATTGTTTTAAATATAAAAATTATGTTTTAAGTAGCACCACTTCTCTAAATTCAACCTTAAACTGGTTTAATGTTGGGAGTGTTACACCAATCTTAATACATCACTGACTTGCATACATGCACGATGCACATACAAGCACAATGCAATGTAAAATGAATTTAGAGAACTGTACAAATGAAAACTTGTTATATTACAAATGAATTTAATTGTTATTTTGTTTATTCCTTTACAGATTCTTGTAAGAAATTTCCTTTGTAATATTCGTCTCAGGATCGAACTCAATAAAAAAAAAATTGCATAAAGCAAAAGGTTAATGTCTTGGATATATAACTTTATCACCTATTTTACTGTATTCCCTTGCACCACAATTCTATCCAATGACTGTATTATTTCTAATTTGATTAAGTTTTGCTTTTTGTTTTGTTCTGCTAATGGTATCTGGGTGTAGCCATGTTCGCTATGGTTTGGCCCCCACATCATTTTCTCCTCAAAACCATACCTTTTCATTGAACTTAACTAGATTAGTTGTCATAAATCTGAATCATCGATGTTGAGAACATTAGTTTAGGTATTCTACACAACACAATTTCACCGGTGCTAGAATTTAGAAGTGTCGGAGTTTATCATTTTTGACTTCAACAGATTTAAGATTATACAGATAACTTATTGCAATTCCTTAATACGAGAGAACAATTTTGATTAAATGATGATTTGAAATGAATTGTGTTAATGAGTTTTTCTATAAATTCATATCTCTACTGTGCTTTGTGCCAAGTGTTTAGGCTAGGGCTGGCAATTCGTGTTTGCGTGTCGAGTTCAGGCCGACGCGATTACGACACGATATGATTATAGTGAATACGAACACGACATGATTAATAAATATGTTAAAAATCCAAACACGAATACAAACGCTAATAAAACGGTTAACACGACATGACACATGAACACGATTACTAAACGTGCCGTGTGGGCTGACACAAAAAAAAATACGTTTATGACTCGTTTATAACCCAACTAGCAAAATTAGTGAAATTTTATATTGTATTCAAAACTATATTAATTGAATTTTTAATATCACTTATAGTTAAAATCATGCATAATAGCCAACACACATTAAAATATCTAAATAACACACACACACACACACACATATATGATACTACTAGATTATCAAGTATATATGTTTCAAAACATACCAATTGCCAAAAATCCAAAGAAGTTTGAAAACATAACCAAGTACATTTAAATAAGTTTGAAAACATAACCAAATATTTGAATGTTTAAGTGCATAAAACATTTGAATTTTATATAGGAAAATGTCTTCTTTGAGCCTTGAGGTTGAATGCCTAACTACGCTCTAAAAATCAAAATTAGTTTCCAGTTGCTTTAATCTATTCATGGAAAAAGAAAACATTTTATTAATGAAAGGAAATTTATAGCTTGGGCATGCCACAAGGAAATTCATGTTACCTTCCATTGCATTTGAGGTGTTGAGGTTGTGAGAATTTTGAGAAGAACCAGAAGTGGGCTCATTGATATCCAAAGTAAAAACATCTTCAGTAATTTCATCCACAACATCACAAATCGATTTGTTATTTTCTACACATAATAGATAACTTATATAGTTAAGACTTAAGATAACATAAGCTAAGACATTAAAGAACCAAAAAATTAAAAAATAAATATACATTTATCTCCAAATAGTCAATCCCTAGTACAAACCAATGCCTTAACTACGGCATGTTTAAGTGAAAGGAGAGATAGCACTCTAGAGAAGAGAGAGCAACGGGTGAGAGAATGAGAGAAAGAAAAGCCTCTAAAGACTCAGAATCAGAAGTAGAGTTTTTTCTAAAAAATATATATATAAATGGGCTTAATAAACAGGCCGGGCCGGGTCGCGTCGGCTCGTATAACTAAACGGGTTAAGTGTGTTAAACGGGCTGACACGAACCAGCCCATTTATTTTCGTGTTATTCATGCCAGCCCATTAACGACCCATTACGATCCTAACTGGAAATAAATGATATATATATATATTTATCATTTTGAGTGGTATTTCTGGTTTTTTCTCATCTTTTTAACTGTCTATTTAGTTTTGTGACATTCTTGTTTAATTTTGTTCCTCTCAAAGTAATATATAATGAGGAGAAAGTAAGATTATAAACCTTAAAATATCTATGACAGTAAACCTAGATAGATGCCTATTTGCTAGAGGAGCATAAAGATTTATGCCATCATTCGAATATTTAAGATCTATAAGCTCATTTTCTTACATTATAAAATCAGTTTAAGAATTGAGTTAAGTGAGACAACTATTCTAATTTTATCATATAAGAAAGGTACAAAACTAAAGAATTGAGTTAAGTGAGATAAATATTTTAATCTACTCGTATTGTCATATTTTCCTTTATAAACGTGTTGGGCAGACTCCAACAAGGAAAAAAAAAAAAAAAAAAACCTTTTAAAATGTATAGATCTCAATTTTTTTTACTTACTCTTAATTAATATCTTTTTTAGTTAAATAACTATATTAGTAAAAAAAAAATGAATTAAGAGTTAGAAGTAAAAGTCTATATTCATGTATTTAAAGAATAAGTTTAACAATTTTTTCTTCCAACAACAAATTGTATCCATATCATCCCGGTCTATAAGGCCCGGTCAATTTTGACATATCTACTTTTAGTATTCTAAGCATGTGGTAGTACGTGTTTTATTCCTAATCTTACGTGGATATTAGGTGCGAAAGCCCTCATATTTGCATGTCATGTGTTAGCATAAATTTTTTTTTGGCTAATCATGTGTTAGCATAATTTTTTTTTTTGGCTAATCATGTGTTAGCATAATTGTGATAAGAAACTTCTATGAACGGATTCAAATTAATTGTTAGTTTTAGTAGCATGATTAATGAAGTTTTTTCTCAATTTTCATGAAAGTGATATCGGACACGACTCTTTACTAGGATGCTTTTTCTTTTTTATGGTATTGACATTGATTATGCATTAGAGATATTTTTGTTTGCTCCATTTTCTTTTTATGGTATTGACATTGATTATGCATTAGAGATATTTTTGTTTGCTCCAAAATCCAAAACCTTAGCCATCTCCAGCGACTTCTCAAAATTGACCTTTCAGAACATGTCCGGGTCAAAATTGAAGAGCTACCGAGAATTATAATCTCAACTAAGTTGTTATTCAATATATTTTTTTTGTTTCAATTTTTGCTACGTTTGAATTGTAATATTGAATAATTAATAGAGATTTGATATTCAATACGTCTTTTCCCCTTTTTGCTACGTTTTCCCTTGAAGGAAAAAAATGTTGATCACATGTATATATATTATTTTAAAAAAAATGCTAGTTATTACCTGTCATGATTATCACTATAATTTCTTAACCGGTTAGAAATTACCATGTAAAGTCATATTGAATCATGTATCATAATGACATAATCAATAAGTCACAAAGTTAAATATAAATTTATGAAAAATAGCGTTTTTGCTCTCAAACTTTGAATAATACTAGAAACACCAAAGTTTAATACTAAAGACACCAATTTTAATATCAATTTGTATGTGACAATTTATACGATAATAGTATATGAGTTGTCTGTTAATATGTATTTAAAATATTATTACGTCAATTAATAATAAGTTATTATACATATTAATAAAAAAATAACAACTTAAATGACACATAAATTAATGTTTAAATTAGTGTCTATGGCGTTACTCTTGAACTTTTATATAATTGATAAGTTGTCTCTTAAAATTTTAATTCTTGATAAATATTGTAGAGTATTTCAAATCGATTAATGATGTTACAATTTAAAAGGAAACGTTCTCATACAGCCATGACATGACATGATGTATCGATCTTCCCTTAAAATTGGAGCATCTTCCTTCAAGAGGAGCTTTTCTAACATAATAGGACATCTCCGTTCAAATCTTAACAGTCATCATCGATTTCAACGTATTTTTCAATACTTTGTTAAATTCAGAATTATTTATAATCAAGTTAAAAGTTTATAAAAGATAATTTACATCGTAAACAAATAAAAAAAAAATAGTTATAGCCACCAACAATAATGCACAGAATTGCTCCTTTTTTTTTGGCTAATCAGAGTTGCTCCATTATTGAAGCTAGATTAGCTGTACATAAATGATTAATAAGAATCATTGGACACGTGGACAAATAAATATCCGGCACCAAAGATATTCTCAGAAAAAAAAAGCTTGATTTTTTTCTCGAAACTACCCTTCAACCTTGTACTTTGTGACAAAACTACCCTTGGATCAGCTGAAAACATCTTCACATAATTACAGTCACGGTACCAAAAGGAAGCTTCCTCACGAGAAAGACGGTATCAAATAATGGAAAAAGATCTATACTTCCGCAAAACTCTCGTTCTTGATTGCTCTTATCATATCTCATTCAAGAAACGATCTCCTTCTCGATGTCTCTCTCAGGTACTCTTTTTCTCTCACTCGTGAAAAGCTCTAGTTCGGATTCATCATCAACTGTATTACGGCAGATTCAAAGTTTTGACTCAAAAATATTATTGGGTTTTTGTAGATGAATAAGGTTTTTGTGTTATTGGGATGAGATTTTTTCCTCGGATAAATGGTAAATTAAAGGTTCTGAATTTTGGTGTAGTTTATTGGTTGTGCACTTATGGATGTGGGTTTTTATTGAGTGGTGAAGTTTGCAGCGGTGATGATCTTAAGCACATGTTGAAGAAGGTAAGAAGCTTTGATGGGAATCTCTTGAAAACTTCTATTCTTAGAGAGATCAAAGTTTTTGAATTTTCAGATTTTTCTCTGTATTGTTTAAAATGGAAATAACTTGGCAACTCTTAGGGCCTTTTTGTTTCGTGTATACCATGGTTTTGATTCTGCCTGGTACAGTATATTTCTCTCAAACAAATTTAAATTTCAAAAATTAGAATAAAAAATTACTGATTTAAACGTAAGAACTAAAGGAGCCCTTATTGATCCACTTGCCAAAACGAAAAGGACTTTTTTTTTTTTTTTTTTAATTTATCTATTGTGTAGCGTTCGTAGCAACCGAACCGTACTACGTGACTGTAATTAGTTGAGGAAGAAAGTAAGTCACCTACCAAATTAGTTGAAATTTCTATGCTTGGTTCAAAGATCAAAACGTTGACAAGGGGAAAGAGCCTTAACCATATAACTAAGAAAGAGACCCACAGTCTCGTAGCGACCGTTAAGCTCGTAGCAAGAAATACGGAGCCATTGCGGATGATTTAGATAGAGGGCGCAGGAAGCTTAAGGCGAGGTTTTTAATTTATCTATTACTTTTTTGTAAGATATAAACACGACTCTTCAAATGGATTACAAATTCAAAACTTTACTAAAGTGTTGCTTTGATTTACCGTTCAATATTATTGTACTAATGTATGAATGAGTTGAACTTTCCAATAACAGGCGACCCTTTTGTTATTTCAAAGAAATTTGGAGCACTATTCCAGATGAATTGAGCTGTTGGTTTCTAGCTAGAGAATAGCCATGTCTGCTTATGGCCACCAAATGGAGCGTGAGTACTCGGCTCAGAGCTTTTCCAGTAGAGGAGGTTCCGGTATGTGATACTATCTTGTCAGTTCACTGCCTTTTCTTCTGCTCTGTAAGTTAAAGATTATAAATTTTGCAGACTTAACAAATCATGGAGGAGTTTTAAACCCAATCAAAGTTATTCTTATGAAACCCTTTAGATGAATTTATATGGTATCTTATTGTCAAGTTGCTTTGTTAGAAAAAGAACAAATGTACTCAAGACTATAAGTTATATAACGTATATTTTTGGTTATATCGGGAATCATTACTACAAAACATTTTGGCATCTCTGGGAGAATTGGTAAGGGAAATATGTTAGTTGGTTGGGACTAAAGAGTTGCTTTGCTCGTATAATGCTACTACCAATTATCTGCCAAATAAGGCTTTGATATTTTTCCTTTTGCTTGGACAGATAGGGACAGCCATTACATGATGGAGTCAGGTTTCTACATGACATCATTTGCCGCGACAATTTTCATCGGTGCGCTTGTGACCGTCGGGGTTTTGTTGATTACTCTGCTGATTACGCTTTCCGTGATGCTGCAATCTTGTGAAAATAGGAGTGCGGGAGTTGTTGAGACACAGAAATCAGATTATGACTACAATACCTGCAAGACTCTTGCTCTCCATGCGGAGCTCAACAACTTGGATGCAAGTCAGATTCCTGTAATTTGCAGGACTCCTGCTATCTCGTATATCGAAGAAGGCCAATATGCCAGAGATTTAAACTCTACCATGAGGGTGGTAGAGGATTATTTCAAAAGTGTCACCCCATCAGATGATGGACTAGATGTGTTTTTGATGGACATAGATGATATTCTTTCTCCAAGTCCTCAATATGCTAATTTATCACTACAAGGGTAATTTCCTTATAACCTAACCTTGAAGATGCTTTTATCTTGAAGATATTGTCAGTTCCTCTCATCTTCCATCCTTATATGATATCTGCGGAAATAATTGATCATTTATTACCGTGCAATTCTCCGACTCTAATGTCTATTGTCTAGTAGACTATAACTGCAGAGTCCAAAAATTGGTGCCATATTTTAAGTCCTTTCTTAGTTGGGTTTATTTAGCCAATCTGGACTTTAGATTTGGACTAGCCATGATAATTCAAGTAGTAACCTTGTTTAGTAAATTCTGTGTTTCCTGTCTTGATTTTAGTGTTCTAGTGAATCAATTAATGAGAAATATGTACGCTTTGTATAGGTATGATCAATTTGGTTGTAGTAAATGTATTGAAGATGCAAAACCTCTGAAGCACGAGATTATTCTTCGAATATATGCGAAACTTCAAGCTAGTGGCTGGCCTTTAATTTTGTTGTCTAGAAAGCCTGAGAGACAAAGGAACGCCACAATAGAGCACCTTGGTTCTGCTGGATACAAAGATTGGTCTTCATTGATAATGAGGTACTAATTCCATGTTCCGTCTGTTTTTGCGTTGTTTTAGTTTAATAGAGATTACATGCTGATATTCTCGAGAATAAAACTCTTTCCTCTTTACTAATGCAATTTCTCTGCAGTCCCTTTCTTTTGATTGTCATTTGCTTCAGGTTGGATTGGAAAATTGTTAAAGATGATGTTTTATATTAGATGTGATTTACATAGTTGGCTAAATTAAGCATTCTTTCAGGTCAGAAGATGAACTGCATATGGATAGCCGCGAGTACTTTTCAAGAAGAAGGGCAGCATTGCACAAAAAAGGTCTCCGCATTGAAGGCGCGATAAGCAGTTACTATGATGCATTGACTGGTCCTTATTCCGCGGGGCTTGTTTTCAAGCTTCCAAACCCAATTTATTATCACAATCATGATGAGAATCAAAATGAGAACAGAGATGCACCTGTATAGATTACGTTCAGATGTATTACCATTGATTTCTTCTTTTCTTGATGGAGAGTATATATGATAGAGAACTTGAAATAGCCATAGAAAAAACATTGCCACTCTTTTCAGTACCCTGTTCTGTAAATATTATTTCTTTCAATGTTAATATTGTCCACATTATTAAGATTTTTTTATGCCTGGAATGACATACAAACGCACACAGATCATCATCAAACATGTCAAGCTGCACAAGGAGGGAATCAATTTAGACCCTACACAAAAGCCATTCATGTCATTCTAATTGCAGAAGTACACCTTTATAGTACAAATAGATCTAGTTCAGAAATTTCAAACACAATACTGTACCATATTTTTTAAAAACTAATTAATAAATTTCTTTTGTTAATCCCACAAAAATCTAAACTGAGAAACGGCAAAAAGAAAAAAAAAATCCTACTACTGCAAGGGCTGACTGCCTGCTTGCAGCCGCTGCAACCATGAAATCCTCAGACTAGGCTTTTTAAGTTGAAGAAAAATTTCTCTATATTCCTTCTTTAGGAATACGTCCAATGCAAACAAATATAAGTCACTCCCTTGTTCTAGTTCCTCCATCCCATCGAGACAGTCGACGCATTCTCCAATGCTATAAGTGAGTCTGACTTGTTGTGTTAAGGGAGCTCTAACAAAGTTCTTCAGAGTTATTGCAGCACTACTTGATTCAACAGGAACTGGGTCGTAAAGATGCTCAGCCGTTACCTCTGGCTGCAGAAGGCCTGGCTTTTCTATTTGCAACGTTGGCGCGATCAACTTATCACCATCTTCGGCATGCCAAGCAGAAGGTACTTCCTCTCCTGCATATATGGCTCCATTGAATATGGTATCCAGTTTGTCAGCAAACTGAAGCTCCTTGTAGCGAAACTGTGCTGCTTCTGGATTTTCCTGTCACAAAGAAAAACCAGTACTCCATTATAAAGCAGGATCACCCAAGTTTTCAATATTACTAAACACTAGCAAGTAATAGCGTCATACGCAAGCAGAAAAATGAGTAAATGTTGATAAAAAAAAATCTCATATAGCCTACCTGTATGTAGTTCTTCCAAACTTCTTCATTTGCACCAAATACTTTCGTACTTGAATCCCATTTCATACAACTTGTACAGACTAGCTTATTCCAGATTTTCCATTGTTCCTTGGTGTTATCCCAGTGATTCTTCAACTGTAACCGCTCAAACCTTAAACCGGTCCTCTTGTGAAACGATCCAAGGATATTCTTCCAACCCTGCTTGGTAAAATGCGTCCCGGGCTTATTCCCTCTCAACGTCTCTTCCAGAGACAGGTCAATGAAAGCTTTGTGGAGGGGAGGTGCCCAAACGACTTTTGCCTTACGAGGGGCTGAGATGGACATACTCTGTTCACTGTCAATTGTTCTACTTTGTCTGCACTGAATCTTATCAGCCCGCCTGGGTGCAGTTTCATCGTAAAGACACTCGTCTTCGTTGTCTTTAACAGAAATTGTGGAACAACAATTTCGCCTCTTGTGACAAGTAGCAAGCTCCATCTCTTCAGTACCTATATCTCCACCAAAGATGATTTTCAATTTCTCAGCGGATTGAAGTTTCTTAAACTGAAATTGTGCAGCTTCCGGGTTTGCCTGTGGAAAACAAAATTGTTCTAATAAGTTTCAACTCAAATAACATAAACTGCTGCGACTTCAGTTAGTATACCTGTATATAGTTGGCCCAATCCTCTAAACTGGCACAAAATTTATTAGTAGTTGGGTCCCATTTCAAACTACCCTCAGTCGTTAGCTTAAGCCAGACTTTCCACTGTCTCTTGGTGCCATCCCAATGGTTTTTCATCTGCAATTTGTCATATTTCATACCAACCTTTTTGAAAAATGATTCAACAATGTTGCTCCAACCTTCCCGCGTAAAATGCGAGCAGGGTTTGTTACCCTTTAATGTCTCTTCCACACATAGATCAAGAAATACTTCGTGGTACGCGGGTGTCCAATTGGCTTTTGAGGCCGATGAGACGGGCATACTTTCTTCAACAGCAAAAGTCATGCTATTTTTGAAAAGCACAATAAGATTGCATTAGAAAAGAAGACAAAAACAAATAATATGAAAAGAGTTTGGAAAAATAAAGGATATGCAATTAGAGTCTTCAACTCTAACATGTCTTAAACCAATATCAAATACCAGTCTACTAAAAAAAAAAAAAAACAGAGAAAAATACATAAAAGTGACAACTCATGCTTATAATCAAGTTGGTCAAAAAGTAAACATCAAAAAAATAAAATTTCCTTCTGTGGATTCTTTTCCCATGTTTTCCCAGCAAACAAACACCCGGATTAACGAACAAGAGAGCAAATTTTTCTCAAAGCAACAAGACACAATGAATTCATAAATTAAAAAAAAAAAAGTCTAATTGTACATAAATCAGAGATGATCTGATCATAACCCATGTAAACTTGGAATGAACTCGGACAAATTTTGGGGCCAAAAACAAAAATCTTAAAGAGGGCCTCATGGAATTCTTAAAATGCGCGAGTTACACAAAAGTTATGATTGAATAACAGAAGTATAGTTATTAAGCAAACAGGGATTATACAAGCTTAAATATGAATATGTAACAATTGAATTGAACATGCACATCCATAAACACTATATAAAGCTGATATATTCTCCATTTCTTGCACTGGGCCATACGAATAACGTTATTAATAGATTTTTATTTTTTAGTTTTTGCTTTATTTATTTATTTATTTTTAATGAATGAATGTGAGAGGGAAGAAATGGGAAAAATGAGAAAGAGGTTGTTGTACCAGGTCATTATTCTGAAAGTGCAGCCATTTAGATTTAGCAGGCAGTGAGACTTGAGATGAAGATGACAACGAGGTCCGAGTATGTCGGAAACTTGAAGAACATGATCAGAGAGACCCACAAAAGAAACACCGCCGTTTTAGCGCGCTTTCCTTTTATTTCTAGGTTTTTTTATTATTTTTTCCATTTTTTACTTTTTCAAAAGAAAAGGGGCCGTTTCACTAGGCCCACCAAGCCTAAAGCCCAAAGCCTAAAACTTGGCCCACCAAACCCATATGATCCAACTAAAATGAATATTAAAGTAAAAAAGCGAAAATTGTTGATATTACCGTTAAAAACGCTCGTGTTTATATTTTTACCTCTTATTTTTAATTAATTTTTTTATTAATATAATTATTTAACTAAAAAATATTAAGTATGAGTATGAGATAAAAATTCTGACTCATTTTAGAAATAACAAAATTACACAGTAGTTATTATAATGATATTCAATTTTATATTATAAAGTTGCATAGTGGTTATTTTAATAATATTATTTGTAAGACATTCTTAAATGTTTGTTATATTTCAAACATAACTTGTAAGATTTTTCTTTCATGAATGAATTAAAGTCTAACAAGAAAATCTTGGTGGCTTGTAAAGGATATCCAACTAAATTAACTGACAATATATAAGCCTTTATTTTTTTGAAGTGAATATATAGGCTTTTTGATAATCGAAAACAATTAATTTACCAAAACTAAAAGAACTTTTCAAGTACATGGAAAAGCTAAAAGAATGAAGTATGAACCATTAAAACATATTTGTGCCCAAAAAAAAAAACCATATTTCATCACCAAACTTTTCAGCAATCACAAGATTCACGAAAAGAATCCCAAAGAGAGAATGTTTATCCCCGCCATTCTATTCTGGTACTACAATACAAAACAATCTTTGTTAGATGGCTCCATTTCTTCACAACAAACAAACCAAAACACAAGCAATACTTTTTTCCCCCCAGTCTATTGATCAGAGAAGCCTCAAAGTCCTATTAAACACAATCCCGAAAACACTCTACAAAACAAAACAACCAAAACTGAAACCATTATCCAGTACACCAAAGATCAACACCACCAACCAAACTAGCTTCACTACTAAATCTCCCCCCTCCAGATCCCTAAACGAACCAGAGAAATCAATGGCGTACTTGCTAGTCATATTCGGGTACAGAATTCCCCAGCTCCGACTCTGGTTAGCCCTTCCCTGCTTCTCCTCCCTGTCAAAGAGCTCGTAAATGTAAGCCTCCGCCACGCCCTCCTTCCGCAGCGGAGTCCCGATCCCCGACCGGAGATGCCTCACCAGCCCCCTGAGGTACAGCTCGGCGTAGGCCGGGTTGGCGTCGGCCTCGGTCGGGTCGCCGCTTGCGCTCGGCCACCCCGTCTCCGCCACGACCACGGGAATGTTATCGTACCCCGACGCCACCATCGCGCAGATCACAGCGTCGACCATCATGTCGAAGAGGTTCCGGTACCTGACGCCGGTGACCAGATCGTCCCTGAAATTGAACCTCTGCTCCTGAAACAGAGCGTACCCGAGCGGAATCTCGCTTCTCGTTCTGTACACATTGTACGGATACAGATCGATCAGGAACGAGGAATTCGTGTCGCGCAAGAACTGAAGCAGGGGGGCAATGACGTTGGAGGAAGCCGGCTCGAGGAATTGAGCGGAGGAGGGAGGGAAGAAGGAGGTGAGGGTGTTGAGGAAGGAGAAGGTGGTGGAGACCTGGATTTTGCGGATTCCGAGGTCGGTTAGGGCGAGGTGGAGATTCCGCATGGCTGGGAGGAGGAAGGGGGATAGGTCGGGGGAGGAGGAGAGGAGGTCGGAGCCGACGGAGATGGCGGAGATCTTGGCGCGGGGGAAGAAGGGGACGACGGAGGAGGAGAGCCAGGAGGCAGCGGCGGAGCGGTTGGCGGCGAGGGAGGGGGCGAGGGAGTTGTTGAGGGAGAGGAGGAGGGAGGTGTTGGAGAAGAGGAAGGCGCGGACGGCGGAGGGGTCGGGGGAGTCGAGGAGGACGGAGTCGAGGCCGAGGGAGGAGACGGAGGCGGAGAGGTCGGACGGGGTGGCGGAGGAGGGGAGGGAGTAGGTGGCGCCGATGAGGGGGACGGCGGCGGAGGAGTGGGGAAGGAGAGAGAGGGAGTAGAGAGAGAGAGTGAGGGAGTAAAGGAAGAAGAGAGACATGGATGGACGTTCACGTTTGGTTTGGCGTTTGGGTTTGTTTGGGAGGATTTTTGGAGGGAGTTTTGGTTTTGGGTCTTGAAACAAACTGGAGCCGACTATAATGCGCCGGGTGCGTAGTGCGCATGATGTTTAGGTTAGTTGGGAATGACTAATGAGGACATTGATCGAGTATGGTTGGATATGGGCTTCGGCGTTTTACAGCGTAGCTTGGAAATGTGGGCTTGTAGCCAATAGAAGGTAGGGCCGTAGAGGGACTTCGATGAAGTCCTTTTTTATTTTATTTTATTATAGGCATGTATTAGAAATATGTTTATTGTTTATTGTTTTTGTTTTTTTTTTGTTTTTTTGTTTTTTTTTTCTTGGAGGCATATACAAATGTAGTTAGTAAAGAAGTGAACATTTGAAATAAGATGGGGAAGAGAATGTTAGGGACACCCACTCAAATTTTAATTTTTGTGTACTAATTGATATGACATGTGAGTCGTAATATTTTTATTGGTAGATATAATATCTCATCATTAATTGATATGACGATATTTTAAACATCTATTAATATAAAAATAAAAACTTACATATCACATCAGTTAGTATATAAAAAGTGAAATTTAAGTTGGTGTACCTTAGCACTATTCGATTGGAAACATGGCATAGTTTTATTAATCATGTTAAAATATAGCAAAAGGTTTATAATATTTTAGAAATAGCAAAAATTAAAATCACTACAATAATTACTACTGGCTACATAATTTTTTAGCATAAAATGTGAAAATCATGGTGATAATATTACTACATAATTTTTCTATTTATATAAATTTAAAAATATTGTATTCGATTCCAACTTTATGAACATGGCATGTAGTGCAGTTTTAACGAATTTCTTACCCAAAAGTCTATGAGTTGAAATTTTTATATAAACACGGGACAATATCTATTAGTACTAGAACTGAAATGGCTTGAGTCACGTATAACGTATGATTGCTACTTAAATACTAAATCTAAACGGCAGAAGGTTTTTCTTTTAATTTTATTTCTTTTTGTGGTTAATTGGACTGTTCAAAAATGTATTTATGTTGCTATCATGTATGACGTCAATAGAATTTTATGAACAAGGCAAAGACAGACAGCCAACTAATTAAACTCAAAAAAAAAAAAAAAAAAAAAAAAAGAGTAAACAAATAAACAATAGAAAGACATGCTAGCTGTTAATGATCCAAATGTTGTAAATCTCCAAGGAGGTTGTCCTAGGAGTCTCCACCTTGTTAGGCTCCCCTATATCTAACATAGCAACATGCCAAATCTTACATTGCTTCTATAATTAATTCGGATCCCTTAACAAGAAAAAAAATAAAAATGGGGATTTCTTATAAGCAACCTAAAAACAACTAGTGCAAATGATAATTTCATGTTCTCCACACATTTCTTAGCCAGCATTAATCACGAGTTTCAATTTGTGGGGTTGATTGAGAGCTACGAAATAAAAAATACATACACACACACACATAACCACAACACTTGATCAGAGACAAATATAGATATTACATATTCATGGTATGCACTCTTAAAATTATATGTCACGTCCATCAATTTACAACTTTACCCTTCAATTTTTTTTCTCTCTCTCTCTCTTTGCAGGCAAGTGAGGTTAGAGACGGAAAATGGCATGGAAATGTGAGCGGAATTGTTGAAGCTCCAATAGACAAAGTGTGGGGCATGGTCTCTTCAACAAGGAGATTATCAGAGTGGATTCCAATGGTGGAAAGATGTACAAGTTTAGGAGGAGAAGAAGGCGTTCGGGGCTACACAAGACTACTTTCGGGTTTCATGTTTCCTCAACCAGATGGAGAAAGGTCATGGATAAAGGAGAAGCTGGTTTTCATGGATTCCTCAACTCATAGCTATGCCTACGTAATGGAAGCCAGCAACGTAGGCTTGGACGGATCGGTAAATTCATTGAGGCTTAAAGATTATGGGGAGGATACGACCCTGATTGAGTGGTCGTTTGAGGTGAACCCCTTGGATGGGGTGTGTGAGGACAATGTTGTGGATTATTTGGGCTGTTTGTACAAGTCTTGTATTAAAAGGATTGAGTATGCTCTAGAAGCGGTATCTAGGAAAGTTTAATTGGTTTGTGTCTTAATGTGTATTTGGTGTATACAGAGTAATAGCATCTTTAAGAGGTTCATCTTTGAAAAAGAATCTGATTTTCATTGTTTAAATTTTTTATTTAAATTTATGAACTAAACGGATCATAACTAACATCGGAATTATAGCAATACAAAGTATTAATCTAATAAGAATCATTATTCATCTTTCTAATAAATATTGGATGGTACTGCGCCTACTAAATAAATTTGTTTGCTATAACGTTTGCTGTCATTTTTTTTCAGCAGTTCCACTGTCATACTATCATCGGGTGCTTCATTTTTCTCCCTACCGACCTGTATGTTGGTTTTGTGAGGTTATTATAGCTTTATTTTTTGTTCATGCGGTTCTTCTGTTCATTTTTCTTCCCCCCCCCCCCCCCCCGTTTTTGATGTCCTTTGTAAGTTATGTTCCCTTTTTTTTTAAGGAGTAAAAATTAAAATTATTTTTTTTTGTATTATTGTCTTTTTTCGTGTTGTTGGGTTTCCCAAATTATGCCTTTTTGTGAGACTGGGGTTGTCACCTGATCTTTCATACTTTTTTATTTTTATTTTATTTTTTTAAAGTTGATGTCGTAAAAAAAAACTTTTGCTGAAACTAATTATTAAAAAAAGTTGATCTCATTTATGTTAAAAATGATGTTCTAGAAGCATGTGATGTAATAGGATATTTATTATTTAATTAATAAAAGAGTTTATTCATCAGTGCATATATTTATCAATATTTTATGAATATCAAACGAAAATTCTGTAATTATTTATGTAACCTTAAACATTATATATAAGTGTTATATACGAGAGGATAATGTTTAAGGATAATAATAAAAAACGTTGTTCATAATGAATTTAATTCAAGTTCAGAATCTTTAATTAAAACATTATTAATACATGTCATTCCCATTTAGAATGGAGCGGTGCTATCCGCACTGTTAATATGGTGAGATATTGAATGAGTATATTTCGCATAATGAGATTGTGTGGAATAGGGACACAGACACAATATGAATTTCTAATAATTTCCGTTAAGCATAGAAATTCTAATTGAGTCTACCGATGGTCATATATAGAATGATCTTAATATTGAGTTCTTAACAAACTCCTATTTATGGATTTGTGTCTTTTGATTTACTCGGTACGGATTCTGAGACCCTGAATCCTATTCCTTGTATTTTGAAGACATGATGAAATAGGTAGCTGGGAATGTTATTATATGAGATGGAATCCATTCCTTCTTGAGAAAGAAGTAGATAAATAATTTTCTTGAGTGTTTATTCGGTACTTGGATTAGTAAGAGCGCTCTGGTTCATGAATGTGTTTTATGAATCACTATCCATTAGAGAATCAATGGTACTCAAGGATGAAGATATAATTAGAGAGGTTAACGGATTCTACCTAGCTCTAATTATGAATTATTTATGGAGGATTGATCTATATGCAATGACTATATCAAATGGACACTTCACAGTTTAGAAGTAATTAATGTTTATAATTTCGATAGTTCAATTCCAAGTTTATAGTGGAGTAACTATTGGAATTAATAGAATTAATTAATTAATTATTAATTTTATTGGAGCTCCAGATTATAGGTCCATTAGTCCCCGCGACGTCCTTGTAATTCTACCAAACACAAAGGGCAAAATGGGAATTTTAGAATTACAGAATTCTAAAATTAAATACTCAAAAAATAATTAATTGAGAATTAATTATTATTTAAATAATGTGATTATTTAAATTTGAATTTGAATCATGAACATAATATAAATTTATCATTTTAAACTTATTTGATAAGTTGTTTAATTTAGAATTCAAATTAATTTAAGTTTGACTTAAATTCGAATTTGAATTTGAATTAAAATTAGACTACATGATAAAGGATGATTTTCTCTTCCTTCCCTATCTGCAATTGGCGCCACACACAAGGATAGGAAACCCTAGGGTTGGCCGGCCATAAGGAGATAAGAGATAGGAGAATTTTTGTTCAAAATTCAAATAGGAGATAGAGATTTGATTCCTTCTAGAAGTTTGACTTCTACTCTATAAATAAGATATGATGAAAAATTGCGCGAGACAATTTTTTAACCTACTTGAAGGGGGCTGGCCGAATTCCCAAAATAGAGAGAGAAGGAAAAATTTTTTCTCCCAAAAATTTCATATTGTGCATGCGTTGGTGTTTGTGGAAAATTTGAGTGTTTGATTTAACCCAATTTGTCTCGAGTGTGCCCACACACACATCTACGTAGATTCAAGAAATTGACGTGAAAGACTTTGATTTTCTAAACACAAGGCTTTGGAGCAAGGATCGTTCGTGGTCAAAGAACTCAAGTTATCATCTGAGTCGGCCTCCAGGTATTTTTCTAATTGAGTTCTTAATATATAAATTAATGTGATAAATTTATTCGTGCATAAATTAATATAATCTATAGAGTATCTCAAAAATTTTATGAAAATTTTTATTATACTTAATCCGTCCTCCTGCTACGCTTCCGCATCCGAATTTGATTTGGTTACCAACAATTTATTATGGATTCTTATTTTTACGTCGTTTATACATGTTATCTGATATTTTCAAAAGTTGTTGTCGTCTTCGTCATGGGTTCCCCTTTTTTTGTTGAAGTCGTTTCTGTTCTTTCATGTCGTTTTTTAGTTGTTTCGATGTCATGTTGCCCTTTCTTTTTTCATGTCGTTTATTACTTATTGCTGTTTTCAATGGGTATTTTCATTTTGATAAATGACATTGCTTTGTATTATGGTCATTTTTTATCCTACTATTGCTGTTCTCCTATTTCCCAAACCCCAAGTTACTGTCGCTTCCTGTTGTATTGTCGTTTCTTATTGTTAATTCTTGTTTTATTGTTTATTTATTTTTTTAGAATTCTCTTTTTTATTTTGATATCCTTCGTTTATGGTGTCGTTTTGGAACTTTATTGTTGTTATTTTTCTGTCAGTTTCTAGTATATGTCGCTCTAAATGATGATTTTCTTTTTCTTATGTAAACGTTGGTTTTTTATGTTCATGTCGTTTATTTAGCGTTGCCATTTTCAATGTTAGTCACTTCAGTAAATAATGTCGTTTTTTGTATTATTGTCATTTCATACACTTATGCTGTGTTTTTTTCCGTTTTATGTGGTCTCTATGTTAATGTTAGTTTTTTTGTTGTCGTTTTTACTCACTATTTTTGTTTTCCAATGTTATCTTCGTTTCATCAAATGGTCATTTTTTATTGTTGGCGTTCCTTGGTATATGTCTGTTTCTGATTCTATGTCGTTTTCATCCTGATGTTATTATTATTATTATTTTTTTTTTAAAAGCTATTGATTTCACGTTCATGTAATTTGGTAATTGTTGTTTATTTATTGTTTTCATTTTTAATGTTAATGTTAATTTTTAATTTTGATAAATTACTCTTGAACTTAATAGTATTGCAAAGTGCTCAAATTTGTGACATTAATGTTGAATTTTGAACGAATTAAACTACCTTATACGCGTCATGTATGCTTGTTTAAGGTAAAAATTAAAATTTAAACTACAACAGAACACGTCATGTCACATGAGGGGGGTTTTTTTATTTTATTTTATCACTTTTCGTCAATTTAGGTGCGTTTTGTAATATTTCAAAAATAAATAACCCAAAAAAATTAAAGAAAGTTACCAAGTCCTTACAAATTAATGGGATAAAAGCGCCAAAAATCCATTAAAGGTGCAGCCATGATGCCACTTATTGGGGCTAGCCTCTCTAGATATGATCATGAATTCGTGATAAAAAATTTGTTTGGCAAAGATTCTTGGCCAATAAATAAGGAATAATCAAACAACTACACATATATGAAATGCTTTTGATCTCCATCAGCCAAATATATAGCCTACATCTGATCCATTATATTTATCATCTTCTAGAGTTACTGTATTTGTGACGACATGCCAATAATAAAGTCATATGTTGCAGTTTAACATATATATATATATATATATTTATCATGACAAAAATATGAGATTTAAGTTATAACTGCTACTCGATCTTACACCATCATATCATTGGCATATAAATAGTGATTCTGACCAGATCCTAAGCGGCTGCTGCATTTTCTTTCGTGTGCAATGAAGCCAATATACATAGAGCCAGGTGGAAGTGGTCGAAATAACTTTTACTTACTACTGATTAAGGCTTTTATATTTTCTACTCTTTTTAGATTATATATAAAGATGGTTCACACTATAAAGTCAAACGCACCATCCTATTATATATTCATAAATACTATGAAAATATTTCTATTATTGGACGGATATTTGTCCTAAATGAATGGAATTACTGAAAGATTCACGTCTTGGTCGTTTGCCTTCAATGTACTTTGGATTGCATCGAAGACTCTAATATTTGGTTTGTTAGGTGTTTTATCTAGTTGGCATGTTTTGATAACGTGTCTGTAAATTAAAAAACAAGTTTTACTTGAAGATTGAAGTTGCCGAGTTGTAGAAGATTGCACAATCTTTGCCGAGTTTTTGAGTTGAAGTTTTAGATGGGATTTGATTGCTTAATCCGAGATTTTACAACGTGAAATCAAGTGCCACATAAGGCAAGTGGTAGATTTGGTGAAATACTTTTACCAACGTGAGATAATGCTAGCACACAGAATAATGGTTTGGCTATGGAATTTGAATATGTGGTCAACGTGAGGATATGTTTTCATGAGGCGAGTACGTATCTGAATTAGTTTAATTTGAAGAAGTGGAGATATTTGGCTAGATATTAATGCAATATTGAAGAATATTACGTGGGAATTAATTTGGAAATAGTGTGGCGGTGATTGATTGGCATTGTGTTTTTGGAGAGCTTTGAATGTTAAATATGAAGAGAAGAGAAATTCAGATATTTTATTTAGTTTAATATTCGAATTTAAACTTGGTAATTTGAATTGAATTGGCAGGATATTTTTTTCGGATTTGATTTATGAGAGAATCGTGGAGATTTCTTGGAATGATTCTTATGAGATATTGATGCCTTATTTTAAGGCATTATTTTCAGCTTATTGTTGTAGGCAATTAACGTGAAAAATATTCATAAGGGGTCTGTGCATTTGTAAACCTTAATAGAGTGTTATATTCATTTTTCAGGAGAAGAAGGTGTTTTTCGGGAGGAACCACTGTCAGTCGAAGGGAGTTCACTGAGCAGTTCAAAGATGAGTGGTGTTCGCTGGACAATGCCACTAAGAGGATTCTCTATAGCGGTGACAACATCAAAAATGGAGTCTTTGAGTGTCTAAGACCGAACAGTGTCTGTAATCATTTTATTTTAGTGGATTGTTCACTGTCTGGGCATGACCCCGTGGATGTAGGTGTGCGCACCGAACTGCAATACTAATTCTTGGTGTTCTTTATGTTTCTGCATATTTAGTTATTTGTTGTTGAATTCAAAAATTTCTATTAATCATCAGTGTTACAGAAAGTATTATAATACTCTTTTGTGACACCGGCGTGAAAAAAACAGACTTTACATTGGTTGATATATTAGAGAGAGAGTTAAGAAAAAGACGAGCATATAATGGGAAAAACGAGTGAATTCAGAAAAACTTAAAATGAAAAAGATGTGGGATTTGAAACTGATGAGGAAGTTGAGCTGTAAGTGCAAATCCTTTTATTATCCATTTTTTATAGTTTGGACAGCGCATATAGCAGGCTGCACATCTGGTCCATGAAAACTATCTCTGAACCATATATATAATAATTTTTGTTTGTATGAACATCGATTACATTACTTATATTAATTTGACCATTTTGCATCACCAAAACATGCCAATCTCCTATGCTATTATATACTCTTCTGGGAAAAATATATATTAATCTCCAATAATTCTTATCTACACATAGTAAGATATTGTATTTATTATATAATCGTCTTTTGCTGCTCAAACGGCTCATTTCTCAATTAGGTCAAAAGTACTTGTAAGAATACAAGAAGTTGGTTCAGTTTTGGAGGTGTACTTAGGGTCCGTTTAATTTGCTGATTTGAGTTTTTAATTTAAGTTGAGATGTGATTTTATATAAGAGTTTTTTACAGTAGCAAAAACGTTAGATGTGACTATTTCTGATAGCTTTTTACCGTAGCAAAACTCAAATTCTAAACTCGAATCGGTGAAATGAATGGAGCATTAATTATTGTCTAAACATTTGAATATCAACATATTTTTTGAAACCACGCAGACACGTGCAACACATAACTGCATTTCCCTTATCCTTTTGAATTTGTGTCAGTTTTGGAGGTGTACTTAGGGCCTGTTTAGTTTGTTGATTTGAGTTTTTAATTCGAGTTGAGATGTGACTTTATATAAGAGTTTTTTACAGTAGTAAAAAAGTTAGATGTGATTGTTTTTGAGAATTTTTTACTGTAACAAAACTTAAATTCTAAACTCGAATCGGTGAAATCAATGGGGACATAATTATTGTTTAAACATTTAAATATCAACATATTTTTCGAAACCACGCCGACACGTACACACACAAGTGCATTTCCCTTATCCTTTTACGACACAAATTCATGTGTGTCTATATATATATATATATATATATGTATACATACATACATACATATATATAGATATATTAAAAAAGTCCACATAGTGATAGGATTGTCAACGTGAAAATTGATAAAGCTGGCATGTTTAATTTCCCTGTATACATATAAAGGAGAGAGAGAGAGAGAGAGAGAGGTTAGAGCTAGGTGAGAGAGAGAGAGAGGTTAGAGCTAGGTGAGCAGTTATTTTCAATTGACGTCCCAAGTGGTCACAGTCAAATGAGAGAGAGAGAGGTTAGAGCAAGGTGAGCAGTAAGTTTCAATTGACGTCCCAAGTGGTCGCAGTCAAATGACAATGGCAAAGAGAGCTATCTGGGGTTACTTAAAAAGAGACTGATAGCTACTTTTGTTTAACATGCAAGAAATGAATTTTAATTTGCAAAATACACGAGGGGTGGCATGCATTTCTCATCCACCTACCGTCCATAAAACGACATGGCATCAAAGTTTCTATCTCTTTAGTTATATAAAACTTTATTACTTGGTCGCTAGCTAGTCACATAACATTTGTAGTACAACTCAATTCCCATTTCAGCGAGTACATAACACATCAGATCAATCTATTTTGAGAGACAGAGAAAGATGAATAAGTCTTGTTTTGGAGCATTCTTACTTCTGGCTTTCTTGTTCCCGGCATCGGTTGACTGCTTGGTTCGCCATTACAATTTCAGTGTAAGTACTTAATCATCTTATGTAAATATCATTTGTTTGTATGGCTTTCTTTCAATATAAATATATTGTAATTGAAACATCTCAAGAAATATGTTTACATGACACAAGTAACATTAGGACATGATATATATGACCGTTAAGTTTCACATTAGTTATTGCATACAACTACAAAGGACTACACGTTCAAAGGTTCAAAACTAGCTATATATCAGTGTACTTTTTTCCCTTTTATCTTTAGAGCAAAGACACTAATGGTGTTAAGCACCACCAATAGTAAAAAGTGAGTTCCATAGTATAAGATATAAAGACTGATAGTTCGTGTTCACGTATCGTATTTGTGTTGATACGATTATGGCTTGAAACAAAAAAATGAACGAGCACAAAACATTTATTATACAAATAACACGACACGACACACGAATATATTTATTAAAGAGGCCGTGACGGGTTGATACATGAAAAACACATTTATGACATGACTAATAGGATTAGTGAAAAATATTTTATTTAATATTTAAAACTAATTTTTAATTTTTTACTAGATACTAATTATAGCTAAATCAAATAAGCAAATGAGAATAAGAACATAAATTCTCCGATCTCCATAATAATTAACATACATAAAAATATCTATACACCAAACATATATATGTTATTACTAGGTTATCATATATACGGGCCATAAATGGACAGGTTTATATTGTGCCGTATCGGCACGTTTAAGACCGTATAATTAAACTTATTAAGAGAGTACAACTAATATGTATATGCATGATTGAATGCTATTGAATTCTTTTCACGCAACTTATAAGCCGGCCTTCTCGTGCTATTATATATGTCATTTCGAATATATGTCAGAACCATTTTCATTTTCAAAAATAATCAAATTTAGTTAGCTTATTCATTCAGAACCATTCTTATCTTCTAATAAACTAATTAGAACATGTTTAGTTCGTTGATTCGAGTATTTAATTTAAGTTAAAATGTGACTTTATGTGAGTGCTCTTTACTGTAATAAAAAAATTAAATGTTACTGTTTCTTAAAATTTTTTACTATATTAAAACTCGAATCGGTGAAATTAATGAGACCTTAGTTTTGATCATTAAGGAATTAGAGATTTAGACACAAAAGAGACACATCAAACCACAAAGACTAAAGCAACCAGCTGACATCATTAAATTAACAGCCAAACTACTGCCTCAAATAAAGAAACAAAACGACTGCAACTTCCATATGGTCATTTTTTTTTAATAATTTCATTTTCAGTCGCCTCTAATTAAATAATATATTGACCCTCAAAAAGAAAGAAAGAAAGGCTGACAAGTTAAGTAAATATGTATAACAAATTAATATTTGTTATGCAGGTTGTATTGACCAATACGACAAAGCTTTGCTCATCGAAGCCAACGGTCACAGTCAACGGCCAATTTCCGGGTCCAACTCTCTACGCAAGAGAAGATGACAATGTGATCGTAAGGGTGATCAACCATGTAAATCGCAACCTCACAATTCACTGGTGATCAACAGTTCCTTAATTGTACTTTCTCTTTTTGGAAATTAAGAATAACTGTTAAGAAAAGAAAACCTTTATTTTAAATGGCACGAATTGGAGATCAATATTTATTCAGAAATATATATTTGGTAGAAGGTAGTAAATAGTAGATTTAGGAAACTAAATTATGTAAATAGTAAGTTTTAAAATTATTGTATAAATGTTTATCATTTATGACTAGTGAAAAAAAAAATTTCAACGTAAATATAAATTTTTTACCATATAAATTATTTTTTACCAATCGTAAAAGAAACATTTAGACTATAAACTGCCATTTACTACAATTTTTCTTATATTATATATTTCAACTGTTATGTATTAGGGACACGATAACAATTTTTTCTTATAAAATAAAGGCATAACTATAATTTTTTAAAATTAGGAATAAAAATTGAATTTCTAAATATGCTTCTAAAAGAACAACACGTGTATTTTTTATTTTTATTTTTATTTTTATGTCTTATATTTTGAGGTTATCAAAAAATGTACTTTATATTTTGGACTATACCAATCTATACTTTCACATTTCAAATTCATGCTAAACCCTTATCTATTTTGATCAAAGGTTGATTTTCATAGATATATCTAAATATCCTTCAAATTTTTGAACTTTTTATTTTTTTATATTATTTTTTCTTTAAGATGTTTATATCTATTTTGTTTTCTCCCCGCAATTGACTAAGAAAAAGCAAGAATTGTACATAAATTTAAAATTTGAAAATATAAATGTCATACCGTCCAAAATTTGAGGTATGGTTTTTTTTTTAATAGCCAAAAAATGCAAGGTATAAAATTAAAAAAAAAAAAAAAAAAATTTGTTAAGTTAAAGCTGCCTCAATGTGTGGCAGGCATGGAATTAGACAACTGCGAACAGCATGGGCCGATGGACCAGCATACGTGACACAATGTCCAATACAACCTGGCCAGAACTATGTTTACAACTTCACACTCACAGGCCAGAGGGGGACACTTCTTTGGCACGCACATATCTCATGGCTAAGGGCCACCGTACACGGTGCCATTGTCATTCTGCCTAAGCGAGGCGTTCCTTACCCTTTTCCAAAGCCTGATAAGGAGAAGATCATCATATTAGGTGATTATTTTTGCTTATCTATATATATATATATATTGTTTTAATGATTATTTTAATAAGATATTGATTATACAATTGTAATAAATTGAGTAGTTGACTAAAAAAATTTATGACAATTAATGAAGTTTGATTCTTATCCCATCACATTATCAATAAATATATCAATAAATAATATAGTGATGAGTTTCTATCTGATTTTTTATATAGGGCTTTAGTACTTAGAATAATATTGTGCATTAATTTTGTTTCTTCTGAATTGTAGCGGAATGGTGGAAAGCAGATGTTGAGGCTGTGGTTAACCAAGCTACACAATCTGGCCAGCCACCAAATGTCTCGGATGCCCACACCATTAATGGCTTTCCAGGGCAGGTTCCTAGTTGTTCTTCTCAGGGTACTGACAACATGGAGTTAAATATATATGTATTGATTCTGATCGTAATAATTAATTAGCCTTTCTGGCTTCCTCAACTAGAAGAAAGAAAATTAATCTGGAAATAGACACACAAGAAAGTCAGAGATCAATTACTTAATTAACAAAATCAATCATGCAAATAATACTAAAACTATCAGTGGTGTTGAGAGCATTATACACTAATAAAATATAAATCTCACAACATAGAACTCACAAATCAGATAGCAGTACAGTTTTTATTAGTTGTAGTGTTTAACACTAGTGGTACCCCAAACATTTTCCTACTTAATTAATTACTAGCAACTAAAGTTCTCACCTAAAAAGTGCAATAATCAACCAAAAAATGTTCTAGAGGTATTTACTATTTTATATTTTGTATATGGAGTTATAAAAAAAAAAAAAAAAAAAAAAACATTTCGATATTCGCAAGAACATGCTTTAAAATTTTAAATTCTTATTACATTCGAATCTTTTTAGAGTCAACAACCGATTTTAAGTAATAAATTGATGAGTTTACTCTTTACAGCTTATAGATAATAAACCTGTAATTAAACCCTTAAAAATTATACTTTCAAACTAAACTACACTAAACCGCAAATAATTTATTTGTGATTGTACATTTTTACAAGTAATTTAATTATTCACTACTTTTTAACTAATTCCATGAGTACTACTACATGCAGGCTACACTCTACATGTCAAAACCGGCAAAACCTATTTGCTACGCATAATAAACGCGGCACTCAACGACGAGCTCTTCTTCAAGATCGCCGGCCACAACCTAACCGTCGTCGAAGCCGACGCCTCCTACACGAAGCCTTTCGAAACGGACACCATATTTCTCAGCCCGGGCCAAACCACAAACGCCCTCCTAAAAACAGACCAAGCCATCGGCAAATACCTTATAGCAATAAATCCCTTCATGGACGCCCCAATTGGCTACAACAACGTCACTTCATTCGCCACACTACGCTACAAAAAGACCCCTCCAAATCCCAAGACCATCCTAACCAAAATCCCACCTCAAAACGACACCCCAAAAACAAAAGCTTTCATCGACTCACTCAGAAGCCTCAACTCAAAACAATACCCGGCAAAAGTCCCGCTAAACGTACACCATTCACTTTTTTTAACCATAGCGGTTGGGGTCAACCCATGTGACACTTGTGTCAATGGGACCAAACTCGTGGCTGATATCAACAACGTGAGCTTTGTGTTGCCCTCCATTGCTCTCCTCCAAGCGCATTACTACAACATCGGAGCAGTCTTCACCGACGATTTCCCCGGAAACCCGCCGTTTAGGTTTAACTATACCGGTCCTTCTCCGGCGAACATTCAGACCACAAACGGGACAAGGCTATATAGGTTGGCTTACAATTCCAGTGTACAAGTTGTGTTGCAAGGGACTTCTGTGATAGCCCCGGAGAACCACCCGACCCATTTGCATGGATTCAATTTCTACGTGGTTGGGATGGGGTTGGGGAATTTTGACCCGGTGGAGGATCCGAAAAAGTTTAATCTGGTTGACCCTGTTGAGAGGAACACCCTAGGAGTGCCTACTGCAGGGTGGGCTGCTATCAGATTCAGGGCTGATAACCCAGGTGAAATCTACGTCCATTTATATATAGTCTCTGATATATATATATATATATATATATCTTTTCTTTTATTTGTTTTTGTTCTGTATTTTCTATGTTGCATGGGAATTTTATGGTATTGGATGGGATTAAAAAGGAAACAAAAAAGAAAATAAAATAAACTATATAGGTAATTAATTAGAATTCAGATCATTCAGACTTTACATAAAATTTGTTTCAAATTAATTAATAGGATTTTGATCTGATCGACTTTTAAAAACACATTAATTACCTAATTCTAGCAGGCACTTATAAGTACGTGTGTCATTATATCTTTTCTTTTATTTGTTTTTGTTCTGTATTTTCTATGTTGCATGGGAATTTTATGGTATTGGATGGGATTAAAAAGGAAACAAAAAAGAAAATAAAATAAACTATATAGGTAATTAATTAGAATTCAGATCATTCAGACTTTACATAAAATTTGTTTCAAATTAATTAATAGGATTTTGATCTGATCGACTTTTAAAAACACATTAATTACCTAATTCTAGCAGGCACTTATAAGTACGTGTGTCATTTCTTTTTTTAAAATTTTGGGGTTTGGTAGAACTAAAATTAAAGGGGAATTACACATAAGTGGGTGTCCTTAACATAGGTTTCATAAGACCATTAATTAATCACAAGTATAAAATTTAAATAAGACGGTTTATATTATATGAAGCTAGATGTTGTGAGAGAATTTTTTAACCTGCTGTCACACTAACTTTATAAGCACCATCCAATTTAAATAGCAAAGTTGAGAAGATCAATGGTCTCTATGTCCGAGTGCTCCCATCATAAAATTCTCTATAAAATTGTATTGGCTCTTTTCTAATAGTAGTTCTTTTTTTTTCCCCTTGACAAGGATATTGCACCCATCTTCATATCTTAGTATGGAAGTTAATATATATACGGTCAATCTCTAGTTCTATTAACTTGATCATATTAGTGAAATGATAGGTGGAAAAGTTAGATAGGGACATGTAGAAGAAATTGCATGCTCAAGCAAGTGCATGTGTCTCCACTAATCCATATGATTCCTATACTGAGAAAAAGACTTTTAGACTTGGATTTATTCAGGTAGTCCACTAGTAGTGATTTATTTTGCTTACAAAGTCAATAAATGGAAGAATGATATGGGGTGTTGTTCTTGGCATATGTGTCTATATATATATATATATATATACATATATATTATGTATTATCTATAGGTGTCTGGTTTCTACATTGCCATTTAGAGGTGCACACAACGTGGGGCTTAAAGATGGCATTCCTAGTGGAGAATGGTTTTGGGCCAAATGAATCTCTGCCACCGCCGCCTAGAGATCTTCCAAAGTGCTAGAAACTTCCAAGTTTAAATGTGTATACGACAGATAAGGAGTGAATTAGTGTATAGATGGAGATAAGCAAGTTGAGGCCAATAAGGAACAGATTAGTTTTTCTTGGGGGGCTAAAAACGACAGATAAGGAGTGAAATAAGAAAAAGATCAGGGCAGTTTAGTTGTGCTGTACAATTTGGACTTCTTTTTGTATATTTTTGTGGGCTTGTAGGAGGTGAAAACTGAAAAGTACTATTGAGTGTGCAACCGTACGTTTTTATTCACCCAGGGGAAGAAGTAATACAAATATTTAAACGGTATTGTTGTTGTAAGGTAATGTGAGATGCATGAAAAGTGGAGTAGATTTTCTCTAGTATTTCACCATTTGTGATATTTACTGCACAAAATTTCAGTTGCGAAACAATTCTAAACATGACAGAGTTGTAGTTGTTGACTTTCTTAAAATCCTAGAAACGTAAATTGTTCCACTCATCATGAGTGGCGGGAAGTAGGACTTCTTTCTTGTAGTCGTATCTCTCCTTCAGACTTTTCTAAATGACAAGTGAATCTTTAACCATGAGATATTTGCATTTCAAGCCTTTATCAAGATGTTTACAAGAGAAAATCATTGCTTTCGCCTTTTCTTGTTATCACTTGTTATTATTTTTTTTAATGGTATCAGTTAGACCCATTGACTCTAGATGTCATTCTACATCTATGATCCAAGACATATAATTCTTTCTTGTGATGTCGAGTGCAATGAATTCATGTTTAGCAAGATTCGACATGGTGATAACTATACCAAAACATCGATATAATAAGAATCACAGTATTATTATTACAATAGAGAGTACAATTAAAATTACATGTTAATCATAATAGCACTAAATAAAAGAAGAAATATTACAAGTATGAGTATTGCAAGAAAAAACTGAAAATCTTGTGAAGAATGATCTCCAATAAAAAGGGCATATATATAGAAAATTACTACTAAAATAACAAACATCATCGTCATATTCGTCATATCGTGAAGATTATAAGAACAGTGAAGAGAAGATGAGAAGTCAAAGATAAAAATATTAAGAAGGAGGAAGAGGAGATGAGAAGTGAATTGTATGGGTTAAGAAAAATCACATTTTATAGAGTAAAAACTAGCAATTTATAGCCATTAATAGTGGTGTAAAAATCCGTTATATAACCGTTAGAAGTGGAAGAAAAATTACAATTGTATACCTCAAATGATGTAGAAAAATAAACATATGAGAATAGTAATGAGAAATTATTACATGCAGGTGGCATAGCCGTCCATTTATGAGAATATAAACACGCCAAACTACTCGTAAACCTTTTGAATGGTGTATAATGATAAAATTATAAAAATTATACTACGTTGGTGGCATAGCCTTCCTTTGTATGTTTACATTCATTTCACTTAAATTTGTAACGGTAGAAACTTCTAGTAGGATTAGGGCTAGGACCTGCTTTCTTTTGACTTTAAGGTAGATGCTTGTAATTGGATTAGAGCCTCCTTTTTTTGAATTAATGAATGCAGACAATCACAGTAGGAATAGAACGTTCTTGCTGATAACGTATTATGAAAACTAAGAAAATGCAAAACTAAGAAGAAAAACTTTAAAAAGAGAAACTAGAGAGAGAATTTCATTAATGTTGTGAAGGTATATAAAATGAAGAATCTTAAAGCTCTATTTATAGGAAAATTTTTGATATTATTCACGATTACTATTTGCACAGTACTTACTATTTACAGTTACTATTTGTATAGTAAGATTCTAACATGAACAGTAACTTTGACTGACTTGGATAATAACTTTGATTGATATTCTGAATTAATCCTCATTACTAATGGAATCAAATTATCTCTAGATTGATTAAAAGATCTTTTTAATTGGTTAAAATTTGTTACTTGAACCAAACTAGATCTCATAGAATTTTTAGGGTTTTTAGGGTATTTTAGGGTTTTTTTAGGTTTTTTGAGTTTTTTGTGTTTTTAGGGTTTTTATGGTATATTTATGGTTTTTATGGGTTTTTAGGTTTTTTTAGGATTTTTTTAGGTTTTTTTTTTTTTTTAGGTTTTTTGCTTTTTTAGGGTTTTATGGTTTTTTTAGGGGTTTTATAGGGCTTTTAAGGCTTTTCAAAGGTTTTTGGAGTGTTTAGGGTATTTTAGGGTAATTTTAGGTTTTTTGAGTTTTTAGTGTTTTTTTGGGCTTTTAGGGTCTTTATGGTTTTTATGCTTTTTAGGATTTTCATAGGGGTTTTTAGGCTTTTTAAAGGTTTTTAGGGTTTTTAGGCTTTTAGGGTATTTAGGGTTTTTTTTTAGGTTTTTTGTGTTTTTATTGTTTTTAGCGTTTTTAGGGTATATTTATGGTTTTTAAGGGGTTTTAAGTTTTTTTAGGATTTTTTAGGGTTTTTTTAGGTTTTTAGGGTTTTTAGGCTTTTATGCTATTTAGGGTTTTTATGGGGTTTTAGGGTTTTTTAGGGTTTTTAAAGGTTTTTAGAGTTTTTTAGGGTTTTTAGGGTATTTTAGGGTTTTTATAGTTTTTTTTTATAGTTTTTATAGTTTTTAGTGTTTTTAGGGTTTTTACGGTGTTTAGGGGTTTTGTGTTTTTTTTAGTGTTTTTAGGGTTTTTTTTGTGTTTTTTAGGGCTTTTAGGATTTTTTGCTTTTTTAGGATTTTTATGGTTTTTTTTAGGGTTTTTAGGTTTTAAGGCTTTTTAATGGTTTTTAAGGTTTTAGGGTATTTTAGGGTATTTTTAGGTTTTTTTGAGTTTATAGTGTTTTTTTGGGGTTTTTATGGGGTTTTAGGGTTTTTATAGGGTTTTTAGGCTTTTTAAAGGGTTTTAGAGTTTTTTTAGGGTATTTTAGGGTTTTTTTAGGTTTTTTGAGTTTTTTGTGTTTTTAGTGTTTTTAGGGGTTTTATGGTACATTTATGGTTTTTAGGGGTTTTTAGGTTTTTAGGGTTTTTTTAGGGTTTTTTTTAGGTTTTTTGTGTTTTAAGGGTTTTAGGGTTTTTTGCTTTTTTAGGGTTTTTATGGGGTTTTAGGGTTTTTATAGGGGTTTTAAGGCTTTTTAGAGATTTTTAGAGGTTTTTAGTGTTTTTTTGGGGTTTTAGGGTGTTTTACGGTTTTTATGCTTTTTAGGGTTTTTATAGGGGTTTTTAGGCTTTTGAAAGGTTTTCAGGGGTTTTTAGGCTTTTTATGGTATTTTAGGATTTTTTAGGTTTTTTGAGTTTTTTGAGTTTTATTGTTTTTAGGGTTTTTAGGGTATATTTATGGTTTTTAGGGGTTTTTAGGTTTTTTTTAGGATTTTTTAGGGGTTTTATTGTTTTTAGGGTTTTTATAGGGTTTTTTAGGCTTTTTAACAGTTTTTAGAGTTTTTTAGGGTTTTTAGGGTATTTTAGGGTTTTTTTTAGGTTTTTTGAGTTTATTGTGCTTTTAGTGTTTTTTAGGTTTTTATGGTCTATTTATGGTTTTTAGGGGTTTTCAGGTTTTTTTAGGATTTTTACCGTTTTTAGGGTTTTTTAGGTTTTTTGTGTTTTTAGGGTTTTTAGGCTTTTATGCTTTTTTAGGGTTTTTACATTTTTTTTAGGGTTTTATAGGATTTTTAAGGATTTTTAAAGGTTTTTAGGGTTTTTAGGGTATTTTTAGGTTTTTTGAGTTTTTAGTGTTTTTTTGGGTTTTTAGGGTCTTTTATGATTTTTACACTTTTTAGCGTTTTTATAGGGGTTTTTAGGCTTTTCAAAGGTTTTTAGGGTTTTTTAGGCTTTTTAGGGTATTTTAGGGGTTTTAGGCTTTTATGCTTTTTAGGGGTTTTTTGGGTTTTTATAGGGTTTGTTAGGCTTGTTAAAGGTTTTTAGAGTTTTTTAGGGTTTTTAGGGTATTTGAGGGTTTTTTTTTTTTTGGTTTTCTGAGTTTTTTGTGGTTTTATGGTCTATTTATGGTTTTTAGGCTTTTTAGGATTATTTAGGGTTTTTAGGGTTTTTTTTGGGTTTTTTTAGGTTTTTTTTGTGTTTTTGGGGTTTTTAGGCTTTTATGCTTTTTTAGGGTTTTTATGGTTTTTTTTAGGATTTTTATAGGGTTTTTATGGCTTTTTAAAGGTTTTTATGGCTTTTAGGGTCTTTTTATGGTTTTGATGCTTTTTTTAGGGTTTTTATCGGGGTTTTTTAGGCTTTTTAGAGGTTTTTTTTATTTTTAGGCTTTTTAGGGTATTTTAGGGTTATTTTAAGGTTTTTTTTTAGGATTTTTAGGGTTTTTTAGGGTTTTTAGGGTTTTATGTTTTTTTAGGGTTTTTAGGGTCTTTTAGGCTTTTTAAAGGTTTTTAGAGTTTTTTAGGGTTTTAGGGCATTTTCGGGTTTTCTTAGGTTTTTTGAGTTTTTTTTTTTTTTTTTTTTGTATTTAGTGTGTTTAGGGTTTTATGACATTTATGGTTTTTAGGGGTTTTTAGGGTTTTTTTTTGTTTTTTGTGTTTTTAGGGTTTTATGCTTTTTTAGGTGTTTTATGGTTTTTTTAGGGTTTTTATAGGCGTTTTAAGGCTTTTTAAAGGTTTTTAGGGTTTTTAGGGCATTTTAGGGATTTTTTAGGTTTTTTGAGTTTTTAGTGTTTTTTTGGGTTTTTAGGGACTTTTATGGTTTTTATGCTTTTAAGGGTTTTTATAGGGTCTTTTTTAGGCTTTTTAAAGGTTTTTAGGGTTTTTTACGCTTTTTAGGGTGTTTTAGGGTTTTTTTAGGTTTTTTGAGGTTTTTGTGTTTTTAGTGTTTTTAGGGTTTTTATGGTTCATTTATGGTTTTTAGGTTTTTTTTAGGATTTGTTAGGGTTTTTAGGGTTTTTTGTGTTTTTAGGGTTTAAGGCTTTTTTGCTTTTTAGGGTTTTTTTTTGTTTTTTAGGGTTTTTATAGGGAAAAGGCTTTTTAATAGTTTTAAGCGGTTTCAGGGTCTTTTATGGTTTTAATGCTTTTTAGGGCTTTTATAGGGGTTTTAGGCTTTTTAAAGGTTTTTAGGGTTTTTAGG